AAAATTTGAAATTAAAATTAAAAACTACCCATTTCGAAAATGTAAATTTAATGTATATTAAGTTTAAAATTATTGAGGAAAAAAGAAAAAAATATATATGTTACTCTATTCATGGTATTGGTCCAAAGACTGTGAAAAAGTGTTTCAAAAAATTAAAAATTGTCTACTGACTGATTTAGCATTGGCGCACTATGATCCAGAAAAAGAAATCATTGTTGCTTCAGATGCTAGTGTATATGGAGTTGGAGCTGTGCTACTTCATAAATATGAAGATTGTTCAACAAAACCAATTGCACATGCTTCAAGGACTCTGTTGACACAAGGAGGGATGTGGCACAAGGTCATTTCTTTTATGTGGGGCATTCCGTGCCTGTATACTCGAGCAAAAATTACCCAAAGATCTTATAATAACGGGGTTGGGTTTGTCTACCTCACCAGATTAGACTCTGCCCTTCGGCATAGCCTTATCTGGGTTCCTCTCTGCCCAAAGGCAGAGAGTTTGACAAGCAGGCAGCAGACCATCTGACTCTTGAGCTTTGATGAACTCTGCATAGCAGCAGAGTTGTCCAGAATATGTGTGTTCAGGACAGATCCATTAATGAGGGAAATGGATCATACCTCATTCTCCCTAAATTGAGCAAGCATTCTTTGCTGTCTGCAAGTCAATGGTGGATTACCAGGAGCATGGTTAGGTTCTTCCTCTTTCTTGCTAGAACTGGATTTATTCCTGATTCATTTTCATAATCCTCTCTAAGTAATAATTTATCCTCCTCTGTATGTGGCCTAGATTTAGTAGCTACTGGTTTACAGTCAAGTGTTAAAATGTTCAAGAAAGCTGGATACAGCATTCTCATAGCTGTTAGGCTGCAAACTTTAAAGTGTGGCTTAGAGCCTCCGAAGGGTATTTCTACTAATGAATGTTGGTATAAGAAGTTTTGCTCTAATATTAGGTCACAGCATAGATCTTTCATTAGTAGACTTCTTACTCCTTGGTATAGAGTAACCTTTATATGCAGATCAACTAAACAGTATCCAAATATTTTTATGAAAAGAAATGAGCTAGCCATTGCCACTTTCTTTAGGCATAGGTAAATTTTCCACAAATTTCATTTTGCAATGCTTGCATTAAGGAAATTTTCCGTGCTCCCCATGTCAATCAGTGCTTTGTGTGGCTGTTCGTTAGCAATGATTTTTATTGTTGTAGTTGAAACAGCCAAGTATATCCAATGATGTTGAACAAGATACCGATTCTCTCCTCTTTTTTCCTATTTTTCCAAACTTTAGCCCAATGTTCCCATTTTCCTCATGTATAGCAGTTGTCCTTTTTAGCAAGGCATAATGATCTTGCATGTCTCTTTCTTCCACAGAAAAAAACAGACGTTTTCAGAGAGCCTAGTGTTTCATACAATGTGGAGAGATCTTAAATAGGTTGAGATATGATGTCTACCCTGGCTGTTCCGTATTTAAGCTCAATTGGAGATCGCTTCGGCCCAAGTCTTGTCTTGCCTCACATTGTATTATTTGATCACAAGACCATTTTGTATCTAAAAAAAAAAAGACCATGTATTTTGCCATCAAATAAAATTTTTCATCTTCTTCTATGTGCCATGTCTGTTCAGGATATGGGTGATCATGATTCTCTAAAGCTTCCTATCCCTTGTGGACATTAACAGCATTTTCCCCTGCCCACATTCTGTTATCCATCCATACAAGCTACTTCTGAAGACAGTCTTCTACTTTCCATTATCTCTTTTGCCTTTGACATGCCCTGTGAGAGTTAAGTTTTCCAAGCCCTCCTTCCTCATTATGTATCATAGAAACTTCAGCTGTCTTTTTCTGATTCTGAGTATAAGTGTTCTGTTTGTTACCATTTTCTTTAAAAACTTTCTCATTGCTTAATCACTCTGTTCATGAAATTCTCAGCATCCTTCTGTACAATCACTCATTTCTGCTGCCACTCATTTTCTCTTCATCTGTAGAGAGATTGTCCAGTATTCACTACCCTACAAGAGAATTGATATCACACAGCAGTTCAGCACTCTTTTGTTTCCAATGAAATTTTTCTACTTCTTAATATTGTTTAGCTTTTGAAATGCATCTTTCATTAATCCAATACATGTTCAGATTTCAGTGTTGCATTCTGTATACTCTTCCAAAATTTTTAAACTTCTGTAATTGTTTGATAAATAATTAATGCTTAAAGTTTTTTTTTTTTTTTAAATTAGACTTATTTAATTTTGATATAAGAGTGACAACATATTACATTCCTTTTCATTATCACAAACATTTTTTCCTATCATCTCCAATCTGGATCTCCACAAAACATGTGGACCTGATGGCATCCCTGTAATAGTCCTTAAGAAATGTACTCTTGAACTGGATCCTGTTCTCTCTAAACTCTTCAATAAAATCGAGTTGCTTTCCTGCTTGTTGGAAAGCCTCTTTTGTAGTTCCAGTTTTTAAAAACTCAGATAAATTGTTTGATCCTTCTAACTACTGGTCTATTAGTCTTCTACTTCTTTTTGTAAAACTACTAAAAGCCCTAATCATCTCTAAATTGGTTAAGCATTTCATATTGCAGTGCCTATTTTCAGAAAAGCAATATAGCTTTTGCTTCAGTTGGTCAAATGTTGATGTATTAATGATTATTGGTGAATGATTCTATCAACTTTAGATAAGAATGTTGAAGTTCAGGCTGTTACTTTGGAGATCTCAAAGGCATTTGACAGGGTTTGGCATAATGGTCTTTTTCATAATTTGAAAGGTCAAGGTATTTACGGACAAATTTTTCAATTGATTCAATCTTATTTACATTGTTTGGACTGTTGTCCTCATCTTTATTGTCATATTCACATATACTGTCATATTGTGAATATGACAATAAAGATGTGGACAACAGTCTGAATTATGTAAATAATTACAATACTTTATCTCAGAAACAGACCGATATTGAAGGATTGGTATAGACCTGATATACCGAAAATATGGAGAAAATTAGAAAAATCCCACCTGAAGCTGGAACAAATATTGAACCATCTAACACTCCTACATCAATGCAGAGATTTACGACTCATCCCTTCAGACTTGGTACCAAGATTTCCCACCAATTGAAGGAGAGTCTGTCTGGTCGCAGAAAACGTAGAACATGCCCTTGTCTGAGAAAGAATCCAGTACAAGTTGGATAAAACAGAAACTGCAATCCAATATCTCCCAAAGCCTTGAGACCTTCTTCAACAGAATCACCAACGAAGAAGACTGAAAGAGTATCCAGCATGACCTGGATAAATCCTTCAGACACAAATTCGAGGAGTTAAAGCCCACCAAGTACAGAAATTGAACAGATTGAAAGACCAGAAGGTGACGCACAAGGTTCATCATTCCCCAGTGAAGGCAGAAGTGAATATGACAATAAAGATGAAGACAATAGTCTGAACAATGTAAATAATATAAATAATTACATTACTTCATCTCAGAAATATAGACAGTGATTCAGTCTTTCTTATCAAATCTCAAAATAAAAGTTATCCTGAATGGCCACTCTTCTAGATCTTTTTGTATTAATATAGGTGTCCCCCAGGGCTCTATCCTTAGTCCTACATTGTTTCTAATTTTCATCAATGACCTTCCTGGATGCATCAGTTCTCAACTTTTTACTCTTGTCTTAATAGTAAGTCTAATTGGTTTGATAATGTCAAATTGGCAGCTGATCTCAAAAATGACCTACATTCTGTTAATTGGGGTTAATTTTATTGCCTCCAAAATGAAATTTCTCTTAGAAAACCCTTTCTACCTTCCATCAACATGGCTGATGCTAACCTCCAGGAGAAAGTGCCTTCTTAGACTAACATTTTTTGTTGACATGAAGTGGAAAGATTACATTGAAACAATTTCTAGGTCTACTGCTAAGAAAGTTGGTTCACTATGGTGTGCTAGAAAATTTTTCTCTCAAGAATCTATCTTACATATCTATAAGCCTACCATTCATCCAAGCTTTGAATATGGATGCTACTTATGGTCTGGTGCTCCTGCTATCTATTTAGAGATTCTTGATAAAATCCAAAGAAGAATTCACAATGTTATTGGTCCTGACCTCACATCTTGGTTTCAGTCACTTTCCCACCACTGTAATGTATCTTTTCTGTGGCTTTTCTTTAAATACTTTCATGGTAATTGTTTTGATGAGTTTTCCCATATGGTACCTAGACATTATGAATTTAAGCACAGTACTAGATTGGTAATAAGGTCTCATCATTAGCTACAGTTCTATTGTTCTATGTTAACAGTTTCTTCTCTTGCACTTCTCACTTGTGGAACTTTTCTAGTTCCCTGCTTTCCAGCTTCAAAAATTTAAATGTAATGTCAATCATTATCTACTGTCTTCTTGCTTGATTCCTCTTTTTTATTGTAATTGCTTCTTAATAGTGTTTCTTTTTTTTATTCTTTCACAATCAGTAACTCTTTGTGTCTCAATGGCTTTACTTCCTTACTTGGCATGAAATGAATTAAAAAAAAAAAAATTCAGCATGCTACTAGATTAGCAATTAAGTTGCACTATTTTAATGTTGAATTAAAAAGATGCAACTGTATATTCTAGTCTAATAGTTTCTTTTCTCACACTTATCACCTGTGGAACTATCTTCTGATTCCTTGCTTCCCTAACACCTACAATCTTCAAAAATCTAAACATCAAATGCCATCTTCTTTTTTCTTAGAATCCTGTTCTTTTATTGCCGTTTTTCCTCACTAATGTATTCTCATTCTCTTTCACTCCCAGTAACCCATTGTGAACTAGTGGCATTATTGTCTTTCTTGGAGTGAAATCATTAAAAAAAGAAAATCTTATATGGTAACAATTTTAATAGGCTATTTCAATTATTTTCATTCTGAAAAATAATATATTGTTCAATATTAACAAGTATTTCTATGTTTCTTTCCTTTTTCACTTTATGTTAAATTTTTATATTATGAATGGAATTTTAAGAAAGAGATTTCATACTCACATTGACAGAACTTTGAGACCAGTGGGGTAAAGAAATATGAAACACATTGTCACAAGGTAAATTGTATCCACTAGTAACAGCAATGTCATAAATTGATATACTAGAGTGTCTGTAACATTCCTGTTGTAACTCTGGACCAGCATCTGCAAGAATGGCCTTTGAAATTGCTCCTGAAGACAGATCCAGGGAATTATTGGTGCTGTTGACAATCACATTACACTGAAATGTAGTATGCAGGTTTATGAGAATGATTTTAGATTCTAATAAAATTAAAAAATAAATGAAGAGAAACTATATCTGTCAAGTTTATTTTTAAATTCATATTTTTCCATATATTCTTATTGTTTAAATTGGAAAATAGGAGTAAATATGTTGATAATATTTTTATTAATATCACAAGTAAACAGTTATATTGAAGATATTGTAAAAAAAAGTTTTTATAATGATAGCACAAAATAAAATAATAGATCCAAATTATAATTTAAATAAATGTAAAAATACAAAAGAATACAATAATAGGACAAAAAATCTTAATCATTTAAAAAGTTTCAAAATATTCCAGGAAAGTATATTAAACCCTGTAAACTCCCAGGAGAGAACAATAGCTTTATCACACTAGGTTTATTTGGTTTGGGTGAATTTGCTAGCCCAGTGTTTAACTGGTTTTGGATTCATTTCTGTCCTTCTAGACTGGTTGGCAACCAAATCTTGTCTATTAACTCCTAGCTTGAGATGGATTCATACATGTGTGAAAGTGAAGGCAATGGCCTTGACTGAAATTCAAACCTTTCAGAGAAAAAATTGAAACAGTTCATATACAAGGGGCATTCAAAAAGTTCATGGAAAAATGAAATTAAAAGCATACATTTTTATGCACAAGCTTTATTTCTCCACAAGCTCCATCAACATGAAGGCAATTCTGTAAGCAATGATGTCAGCCATTTATAGAGTCCTGAAAGAACTGAGAAGTTAATAATGACAAAACATCATTTTTTATGCCATTAGTGGTCTTAAAAAAATCAGTACTTCTGAAAAGGTTTTTATTGTTGGGAATAAGAAAGGGTGTTTAGTCAGGACTATAAACTAGATTACTATATCAGCTGTTCTGAAATTTGGTATTTGAGTGTAAACACAAGGTCGTTTAATGAAAAATTTTCAAAAATGACAAAGAGAATTACACCACTATTTAATATGTAAAAATTTATTTTCACTTTAGCAATTTTTTTAAAAACTAACATTAAATCATATTTTTAACAATTTTCTTATAGACTAATAAAGAAAATTCATTCAAACTTCATTTTTTCAACTGGTATTATTTTAAAATCAAGATATATATATATATATATATATATATATATTGTAGTCAGAATGCACTAAAAATTATTGTAATGGTAAAAAATAATTATATTGAAAAGAAAAATAATAAAATATGACTTTAACTAAAGATGTGCAACTAAAAGTAATGCTGACTCAGTTCACATTCAATTCCAACATATCATTTCAGTGTTCTTTAACTTCCATGGGATATTGAAGCAGAAAACCCTCAGGATATCTCTATTAACCATGATACTGGATGCAGTACATCACCTGGGCTTGTAATGTCAGTAATAGACAATTACCAATTTTTGGCATCATCTGATGAATCATGGTTCCAGTTGTTTTGAGTTGATGGAAGAATTTAGATGTGGCATAGAACTCATGCAGCCATGGACCTCAGTTAGCAACAAGGCTCTCTACAGGCTAGTGATGGTTCTATAAGGTCTGCAGTTCTTCTTAAACATGTCATTGACCAGTAACCATTATGTTGCACAGCTTCATGACCATTTGCATCCATTCATGTTCCTTTAACAACATTGAGCTATACCAACAAAATAATGCTCAAGCTCAAGTTGCAGAGAATTGACTAGTGGAACATTCTAAAAATTTCTGATGAATAATGTGGCCACCCCATGCACTCAGTCAGTCATTTATAGGATATGGTGCAAAGGTCTATTTACAAGCACGATTCTACAGCTGCAAATATCATGAGTTGTGGACAGTTATCAAGGCAGTATGACTCAACATCTCTCCAGAGATCACTTGTGGAATTGATGTACTTCACCAGGCTAGAAGGGGTCCAATTTAATACTGGGCACTGAGCCCATAATGTTTGGTTTGTCAGTGTATAACTCAATTTCATTCTTTTGATTGCAGACATTTTGGCATTGATGAAAATCTTTTAAATATTTTAATACCTTTATCTTGTTCAAAAATCCAAGTACTATTTCAGGGTTATTTTGTGACTTTTGAGCTTGAGATGGTCTGGCTGGTAACACTGGTTTTTTAAACTTGGCTGAAAGAAAACACATTTTTATATAAAATTACGACACAATCTTCTGGGAAAACAAAAAATGACAATAAAAATTGCATCACTATTTAATATCTGAAATTTATTTTTAATTTAACGAAGTTGAACTTTTACACCAACATAAGTCATATTTTCAGAAATTTTCCTATGGGCTAATGAATAGAATTAATTTTTACAAATCATTATTTTTTATTTTAAAACCAAAATTTATATATACATACATACAAACATATATATATATATATATATATATATATATATATATATATATATATAATTAAAAAAATAGAATAAAAATATTTAAAAATAATCTGAATACTTATGGCAACTTATGAAAAAAAATTTGGAATTCTGTTTCAATATTCTGAAGAAAAAATAATCTGAATGCACTTAACATATATTGTCATGATAAATTAAAAATAATTTTGGCTCTAATGTAGTAAAACAAAATATTTCACCATTTTTGAAAAAAATAATTATCTTTTTAATTCCAAATGGTAAGCGGGACCATCTAATTAAGACCTAACAAAAAATTGTTGTCCATTAATTTCCTTAAATTTGTAACATGTGGTTCATCTAATTTAATTTGTTTTTCGCATTTTTTAAACCAATTTTTGTAAAATATTTCATTCTTGCCAGAGAATATATTATGTTTGGAATAAGGTAGGAATCAAAGATAGTTTTTTTTGGAAATTGGGACATTTTTACTAAACCTTTTTTGTAATCTCTGCAAATTCTAAAATCATCATCAGAGTTTTCTTAAACTACAATAGGCGATACCCATTTGCTGTTTCCAGTTTCTACATAATGAAGAATGTCTTCTTCCACCATTTTTTGCATCTTATGAACAACCATTGGCTTTATATGAATGGGAAACCTATCTATTTTCAAAATACGATGAACTGATATTTCTTTTTAACCTAAGGATTACTTTATAGATTTTCAATGTCCCAGTTCTGGGACTTCTCATATTAATAGTATAAAGTAAACATATGCTATTAATATTTATAAAATCAGTTCCTACTAAACCATGACTTTTTATACAGTCAGGACAATAGATTTTTGACGGTTTCAAATTCAATTAAAATTTTTGTTTCAAAAATTGCTTTTATAGTTTGGAAAAGGACCCTAATATTTTTATATACGTTCAATCAAACTGTCTTAATCTTACTAAGCTTTTCTTTCATTTTGGTTTTAATAATTGTTCCAAAAAATTCTTCAGATTAAGAGTCACTTTGCTGCCAGTGTCAATTAACATTTTTATGTCTACACTGTTTAATTTAATATTCATGAACATGTTCATGAATATTTTCAATAGAAATGAGAAACGAAAAGAACGTGTTCAATTTTTTGTTTTGTGTAAGGGAAAAGTTGGTTGTTTCACTAATTTTTTACATCATCATGCATTACTTTTACCATTGGTATCTTGCCATCTAAATACAACTTAACATTTCTCTCTCATTTTTTCATGTCTATAGTTTATCTGGTTTTTTTATCATTGTTCTTTTTTCTGCGTGTCCATAAGATCAGTTTGGTTTTCATTATAAATGATTTTTATATGAAATTTTTAGATAAAACTTGTATGAAGTCAACATTGCTTCTAAAGTCATTTGGTTTCTCTGTAACTGGTCTAAAATTTTTTACTTGATGAGGTGTTGTACAGTCCTTAAATACAATCAAGTTAAATTAATTTTCCTTCCTTTTTTTGATTTTATTTTTGTTGTCCTTTTTAAATGAAATTCACAATATCTTCTGGTATCTCCATAACCTTCTTAGATATCAAATAAAGGCTCCCCAAATTGAACGGTTTGAATGCTAAAAATTTGGTTTGTATCTATACCAATGTTACTTTTTATGTTATGTACTGATGTATCCATTAAGTTAATTTTTCTTCCACCTATTTCTATGGGTTTTTGTCCATTTATTATATATGAGTGTGTGTTCTTTTCAAACTCTTTATTCTTCTTTACTCAGAAAATTATAATTCTTTGCATTTCAAAATTTGTATTTCCCTAATTGAGAAAGGATTCCAATTCTTTTTATTCGTTGGAGAAGATACATTTAATATTTTTATTACTTCTTCTTGTGCCCTCCTGAACATCTTCCAAAATGTTTTCTTTCAATTAAATTTTGATAATCTTAGATTTATCATTCGTCTTTCCCAACTTATAATCAAATTTGATTCCTTTTTTATTTCTTCTGGTCTTAATTTAATAAATTTCATCTCTCTTTTTCTTTTTCCTCCTGTTTCATTCAAAATTAACTCTTCTGATACATCTTTTATGGGCATTCTCTAAATTTGTCATTTCCTCATCAGATTTTTCTCCATTGGGATCTTATTTGGCCATTGAGCTAGAACAATTTCCCATTTTCTTTATTTAATTCAGTTTTATGTCCTTTCTGCATAATAAATTCAGGTTTTTATCATTTTCTTATTCCACCATTTTTTCATTTTGTACAACATCTTTTTGATTTGAATGGCATATATCATTTTCAGTATTTACGATTAATTGATATTGCTTTTTTAAGGCAGATCTTTTTTCCCAGTTCCTGCCTGCAACGAATTGTTCTGTAATATTTATAAAATCAGTTCCTACTAAACCATGACTTTTTATACAGTCTATGGCCATAATAGTGAAGTTTCAAATCTATTTTTTTGTTTCAAAATTGCCTGAAAGGACCTAATATTTTTATATTTCAATCAAACTGTCTTAATCTTATGCTTTTCTTTCATTTTGGTTTTCTTTCTTTGTCCAGTGACCATTTACATTTTTATGTCTACACCATTTAATTTCATGAACATGTTAGGAATATTTTATCAAAAGAACACGTTCTTTTTGTTATCCTATTTTTCTTAGCCATTTTCCAAATCATTTCTCTCCATTCATGTTTATAAATATCTCATTTCACCATTGTTCTTTTTATTGTCCATAACAATGTTTGGTGATTATAAATGATTTTTTGGGTCTTCCTCCTGGAGGGCCTAAAGTCATTTGGTTTGTCTTAAGTCTTCCCACTTGATTTGCCATTTCCTTCTACCAATCAGAGTTGAATTAATTCTTCCTCTGTGTGTATTTCTTGTTGTCCTAGTTCATGAAATTCACAATATCTTCTGGTATCTCTTTAACCTTCTTAGATATTTACTTATAGTCTTTCCAAATTCTTGTTTGAATGCTAAAAATTTGGTTTGTTTGGCTATGACCAATTTTTTCTTTGCTGCAAAATTTCTCAGTATTATTTCTTTGACTTCCTTTAAATGTCAAGTTTTCAATTTCAGCCGGATAAGTCATTAACAAAATCTGCCTAATGGCTTTGCATTTGAAAGTAACCAAAAATAGATCCATGATTTCTTTCTGTCCTGCAGGTCTTTGGTCATCTCATAATTTCTTTACTCTGGCATGTGCCTCAATGCATTTTATATAAATCTTTACATTTTCAGGTTCTTTTGTGTTCAACAGAGCTCCATCAGGTGACACCATTTTGTTATGTTGATCAAACATGGTAGCCATAGATATTCTATGTACACTGACTCAAAGTTGCCCATGAGCTATAATTATAGCTCTCTTTATGTTAATTACCTATTAGCTAAACCAATCCTATCATATATCTTTTATAAACTGCAGCATGTATATTATTCATATGTTTAAATGAAACATTGTCAATTATTTATGTTTTTAACTTCTATTTCTTTTATTTCATTTCTTGCTTTTTATTATAACATAATTAAATTTATAAAAAAAAATTATGTATCAATCATGTTTTAGAAGAAAAAAACTGCAATTTACCATCACTTTCTATTTGAAGAGAAGTAGATTCTGGAAATATAGACTTCATCTGCTTTTGAAAAGCAGAAATAACACTTGGTTTTATGCTAGCAAGATAGATGGTTCTTAATTTGGAATTCGGATTATCCTTTAAATAATCCTTTATGTTTGATAATATGACCTCACTTGCTTTATCCAGAGGAAATTTAAAAATCCCTGCAAAAAAATATAAACAAAGTAATTAAAGATGAATAAAGGAAAATGAATACAAACATTCAAAATGGAAAAAGAAACAGATAGTTTTCATTGAGAAAAATAGACAAGATTTTAACACGTTATAAACTTAAAAAATTTGTTCTAATTTAGAATTATTGCTCAGATATATTTTTACAAATTCATTGTTGTTATTTTACAAAGCAGAAATTACCTTGCCTTCCATGATAACATAGTATGAAATGTATTTTCCAGTAAATAAGCAACAATAAAAAAGAATGTTACCAAATAATACCCATTGGTTATATACTGTAAAAATTTCCTTTGGCTGCAAAATGTTGTCATTATCTCTCTGCATAATAATATTTATAGTATTTAAATATGAAAAGTAGTAGAGCATGAACACTAGCTATCAAAAACAGCAGAACAAAGCTACAAAAATGGCAGAGAAACAGTTTTTAAGACAGAAGTCTACAGAATTCAACAAAGTTTGTTTTTTTAAGAATAAAAGAAAAAGTTTGTAAAATAAGCTTAGATCGGAAAACAACATGGTAGTGTAATAGGTGGTGGCTTGGAAAGAGAACTTGGCATGCAGAGTTCAAATTATGTAAGATTTCATAATGTTCACTTTTGCACAAATATCCTTAAAAAAGATAAGTATCTATTTCTTCTCTCCCCAGTTATAGGTTAAATAACAGGATAAACTAAACTCTCTAGATTTGATTGGCAACAAGTTTATGAAAGACAACTTTGGATTCAAAACTACACACCACTACCCCAGCAACCTGGCCTACTGTTGAGGGATGTACCAATGTGAAAAAAGAAAAAAATGGACAATGAGTGAAAGTTACAGGTAGTGATAACAACTTCATTTTTTTGCCAAAATAAAAAAAAAAATGAAATTAAATCAGCAAAGAATTGAAAAATTTGTTGTGTCTGCTAAAAGCTAAAAATTAACATGTCATTATCTTGAATTGAATTATATAATAAAAACTGAAAAACAACAGATTTGCCACACAACAAAGTTTCTCCTGAACAAGGCTGTGGAATATACAGGTGAAATCAATGAAGATTATCACAATAGAGAAATATATCTCATCTTCCAGTTTTGTGTAACCTTCTGTACAGGAAATTTAAAAATAAGAATATTATTTAAACACTTTTATATTTCTGCAACAGCATTTAGGGATTAATTTCCACCTTTTAAGCTCATTCTTGATACATATGGAATAAGCCAGTTTTATTTATATACAATATGATTGAATAAAAATCATACTGATTATTATTAATAGTGGTTGTTTCAATACCAAGGTAATCTAAGATTAACAATTCATTTCAAATGCACATAAAATAATAATTTCAGTAAAAGTGGCAATGAAGATGATGATGTTAATAATTATAAAATTACAAAAACAAAACCTGAGCCTGCCTTACTATGTGTAAGTGTTGGACGAAGCTGCATTTCGCTATGCTGTGTTACCATGAAGAAAAATGAAGGTAGGTAGGATTGCAAAGGGTGTTCAAAAAGAAAATGTAGAACAGCTTTTTCAGTTTACAGGTTTATTTTTGAAGTTGAGTACAGTTAGTTGAGCTGAGGTACCTGGTTGAGACATTCAGTAAAGATGTATGGTCAGATTATCATATACTAAATTGATGCCCCTATGGAAATGTAATAGTGACTGATGCTTTATTAGGATTAGCAACAGATCCCTCCCCACACTACCTACCGGGAAAGTATTCCTTTGACAATTTACCTGTGCAAAATTTGCTTGACTTTCTCAATTGATAGAAAAAAATCTAGCTAATTATATAATAAAATTTCTCAATTTTTTTACAAGTGCCTTTGAACTATTTCTTACCTCCTTGGAACAATTAACTCCATCATTTGACTCAGAGTTTTATGCTATGACAAAAAAAACCCTGTAAATTTCAATGAACTTCAAACAATCTTTCTGAATAGAATTTGGGAAGCAAAGATCTGAAAAATTGAACTTGGACTATCAAGCCTCAAGTTATTAAAACCACTTCCAAAATGTACAAATCCAGACACACAATCTTGTCACTGGCGATATAAATTTTCTCTTTCATCTATATTTCCACAGGTGAAATTATGAACATTTTATAGAGTAATCGAATATGCATTTATAGAGTATTCAGATATATCATAAACTAATTTATTAATTTAATGTATTTAATTTAAACACATTAGGTTCAGTGTTTGTGTGTATACATGCTCATGTACTAATTTAATTTACACACCTTAATTTTTTTTTAAATTCCTGTCCTATTTATTTCCTGGTGAAAATGTATCATTGTACAATGAATTCCTTAGCTGATATTGTTAACCATGTAAATTCTCCTTTGGAGTATACAGACAAAAACCTTATAATGCTACATAGTAATATTAATAAAAAAAAAAATGAATGTAGTGCAGTGTTATTACCTGTGCTAATGGCAGGGAATGCGATGGAGGTACAGTTTCTTTTCTCTGCAATTACTAAAGAATTTATGATAGCTTTTGAGAGAGATTCAATTTCATAATTATTTCCACCATTCCAAGTTGGGCCAACTGCATGAATAATTAATTTGCATTCAAGTTTGCCAGCAGTTGTAACAATTGTACTTCCTTCAAGAACATCCACAGGACCTTTGTCAGACATATATTTATCACATTCATCTTGAATCACTTGGCCTCCTGTTAGAAAGACAAATAATACAAGTAATAAAACACAAAATGATATCCTTGATTATGCAGTGGTGAAGCATTATTGATTGGTTAGAAGATTTGATTAGCTTAATTATTGACTGGGAATTATATACTGATCAAGATAAATCTTAAATTTGAATATTTGGCAGCTTCTCTGAAATTCTGACAAAAAATATTTACAAACAGCGTGATTTTCAAAAAGACTGTATTACTCAGTTTTTATTTGCATTATTTTTCCTCTCTAATATTAATCAACAACTTACAACAGAGTAAAAATATCAATTTAAAGAAGAATTTGCAACGTTATTTGGTCATGACCTGGAATATCAGCTTCAATCACTTTCCCAGTGCCATAAAATAGTTTCCGCTTCTTTTCTATAAATACTTTTATGGTAATTGTTCTAATGGCACTTTCATTTATGGTACCTCTATGAATTTAAGTGGAATACTAGATTGACAGCAAGATCTTATCATTTTAAAGTTGAAATGGTTAGATGTAACCTTAAGTTCTATGCTAACCATTTCTTCTATTACATTTCTCACTTGTGGAACTCTCTTCTGGCTTCTTGCTTCCCAGTCCACTTTGATCTTCAAAAATTTAAATGCAACATCAATCATTATCTTCAGTCTTCTTAATTCCTGTTTTTTTTTATTATTCTCTCTCCTTAGTAAATTTTCCCCTCATATTCTCTCAAACTCAGTAACTCCTTGTGTCTTAGTAGTTTTATTGCTTCGCTTGGGGTTAAATGATTAACAAAAAAAAAAAAAAAATAATTTGTAAAGTGAATTGCTCTTATCATGGAAACTGACTGTATAGTGTTCTGAATATGAAAATTATTCAAGTATTTCTGAAAAATACTTGATAAATGACTGATATAAAATATCCAAAACAGTCATCATTGTTGGCAGAACATGTTGCTGAGTATTGCGGGTGCTAATCAAAATTTCCTTCAGTGTGAAATGAGCCCTATGTTGGACCTGAAGAGATGTCGAACAGCCACCACAAAGTAGGGTAAGAGGGTATAGAGGATAGAGAGCTCAGGCTTTTCTTTGCGCTCTTTTAATCTCTTCTAATCCAAAACAGTATGTAAGATGAAATAGATAAAAAACTGTTGGATGTTTGAACATTTTATTTCCTTTTTGATGCTTCACTTTCAACAAACTTTATCAAAACAATAGAAAAAAAAAAAAAAAAGCATTACCATGGCAACTCTGCTATTAAAGATTACTGTAGTTAATTTGAAAAAGTAACTTTGAAAACTTTGTGAGTGAAATTGAATAGACAAAACTGTTCAAAAGTTGTTGACACTAAGATAAAATCAAAAGTCATTTTGACTGAGGGTATGAATGTACTAGCCTTGTTCAACTGTTGATCACACTAGTTTATGTGTACTATCCCATAAATTGTAAACTAATAAACTCAGCTTAGTTGCAATATAAGGCATTGGCTGCTTGCATGTGTGCATCCATCAGTCTTATAGATGCCCAAGCATCTGCAAGATTGATGGGTGCCTACCATCTGCTACACTAAAAAAAATTCCATTGTAAACAGAAAATCAATCTTGATAGATTTCTAATACAGTTGGGAAAACTATAATGTAACAATAAAATTAATTTTTGACACTCATATTATAAGAAATTGATAAATATGAAACTATCAGTTTATTTACCTGGCCTAATAAAGTGTTTGTCAACAAAATATTGCTAATGTTTTGTCTTAAACAATTTCTTTTAAATAAAAAGAATATAATGTGTGAGATCTGTTTATGTTGAATTTTTAATTTACTAGATTTCCTAAATTAAGTAAATCCTTAAAGAAAAGTGTATTAAACTGTGTTTTAACAAAACATTTCCTTATTAATTTTTATTTGTGTCACACAATGATACAACATTCAAATATGAAAACAAAATACAAACCTTTTTGAACAATTTCTTTTGCCACTCCACCTACATGTTTCAATTTTTTGTTAGCAGAATTTACGATAACATCCACGTTGAGTTTTGTAATATCTTCATACACTGAGATTATTTTACTGCGTCCATATTTCACTTGATAATTTGAAACTGGTTTTTCTAAAATAATGTTACTGTCATTCTCATTCTTTAAGACTATGCACTTATGTGACACTGGTATGTTTGTTAACATTGTATTTTCAGCCTTCAAGAATTTCTTGAAGCCAAATTGAGAAAATGTTTCTTTTTTTTCTTTGACATTATTAACTAGAACCTGTAAAAAGTCTGAAGCCTCTGCCTTGGTTTTTATTGTTCCTGTAATATGAACTGTTTGGTCATCTTCAAAACTAATAACAACCGGTTTCTTACGTTGGCAAAATTTATTGATGGAATCCATTTCAAATTTTTTCAGAAACTCATAAGTCCCATATTGTAGTGACAAAGTAATTGTATATGTGACATTAGTTTCAAAAAAATTTTCAAGTTGAGATCCTATTTTTGGTGCTTCTTCATTGGTTGTGACTACAGATAATTTGTTTTCTTGAATCATTTTATAACACCTATCATTTTTATCTAACACATTTTGCATAAATATCTTCCATTTCTCTTCTCCCATTACTTTTTTTATTGGGACAGTAAGGTCAAAGGTCAACTCAACAATGCAATCTTTCAAAACGCCAATTGCAATCTTCAGGTTGTATTTCTTTGAACAATGAACCAACACTTGGTCTTCAGAAGTTATTTCCCATGCACAACTACATTTTTTCATTTTCAGCCTTTTCTGAATATATTCTTTTACTGGTTTTTGCTGGAGAAGATGATGAGCATTTTGAGGCAGCTGAACAGGAGTTGACTGGATGTCAACAAGAAATTGATACATCTCTTGCAGTACCATTTCTATATCAGCAGAAAAGCCAGAAAACACAATGTTTGTATCCACTTTTTTAATTTTCACCTTATATTTTGGATCTAAGTGGGGAATGAAGTCAGCAAAAAGTAAAGAAATTTGATGAGGTTTGAATTTCTTCTCTATCTTCATGTTAGACTTTTTTTCAATAATTTCCAACAGTTGCTTCTGGTGATCTTTAGCAATAGCCTTATTGAATGAGAAAATGTGTGCAATAAAATTTTCATTGTCAAAGTAAATTTGTATATTGTTTTTGGCATTTAAGGTTATTTCTTTCACTTCTTCAAAGATGGCAGATGGGATGTGTACTACTTCTTCATGTATGGTAGCCAGCAATGCTTTTTTACAGTTTCTATTATTTTTTTTCATTGTCATCATCATCATACATTATTCTCAATGAACTTTCATGACTGTCAGACCAAACAGGATTTCCACAATCTTTTAACTGAACTTCACATACTTCTTTCTGCTCCTTTAGAAAACTCAGCCAGAATTCATTTTTAAGCTTGATATCTTTATATGCTTCATTACTACTTATATAATCATTGTAGAGTTTAATGTCAAAATCTGCATGTTTCAACTGGGACCATTTTGAAGCAACTGAAAAATGATATTTCATAAAATTAAAGGAAGCATGGATTGAATTTTATAAGAAATTGTCACAAATTAAAAGCATGATAATAAATAATTACACTAGCCAACAAAATTTTTTTTTTCAAAAGGCATGGAATATCAGAACGTTTTTAGGCTAAATCAACATTGCTGAATCCAAAAATGTACTTAATTCTCTTGAATTGGCTCTACTTTTCAAGATATTGGACATCAATAAATTTCTACGATTTACTTTTCTCTGAATATGCTAGATTTGCTATCAACTTGTTGCCTTGTTTATGTTAGGGATATAACTCTACCCAAGAAAGAGAATTTTTCACTTTGAGTACAGAAAATTACTTCTGGACAGGGAGAGAAACAAGATGGCTGCTGCTTAAACATATGCACATGGATTGATTTTAATCCTTTTCCATCCATCTGCATCAAGTTAGGTGAGACAAAAAATAAATATTGATTGTATTTAAAATACAATTACTCTTCTATTGTATTTTTTGTTCATTCTATTAGCCTGGGATATAAAAGTTTACATTCTTTAAAATTCTTTCGATATTAAGGAAAAACTGTGAATACTATTGTTCTAGTTATAGATATGAATGAGAGTTCCAGCCTATCTGCTGCTACCAGTTTTACAGGCAGGATTTGTGTATCAGGTTCTGCCAGTGACTTAGATTCTCTCTATTTCACATATACAAAACGTTAATCATAAACTCTGTGTCATTCTGTGTTACATATATGGTGAATATATGGTAAAAGGACATCAGTTCAATGTTTGAGATTTCACTGGAAGAGAATATCAAGCTTACTTTGGTGTGAAGAATGGGGATCAAGATAAGTTATGGGCTCCTCACAAAGTTTATAAGAATTATACTGAAACCATTTGCTTGTGGACCCATGGTAAAGTCAAGTCAATAAAGTTTGGGGTACCAGTGGTGTAGTAAGAGCCCCCAAATCATTATGATGATTGCTACATCTGTATCATGAACATGTCAGGAGGCAACTGTCACAAAAAGTAGTCACACTATTGAATCTGAAAGTTCAACATTGTAATGGTGTTCCTATTCCAGTTTTAACTTCCTTGTCTGATTTTGAGCAAGATCATGATGCTATGAATATTTCAAAAGCAATGGATGAAGCTAGCAACAGCAGTTGTATTTATCATTTGCATTTGGGAGATTTTCAGGCTGTAAAAGTGAAGCTTTTCACACAATGTGAACTGAATGACTTGGTTAGAGATCTAGCTTTATCAAAAGAGGCAGCTGAGATTTTGGGCTCCCATCACAGTGAGCATCGTGTTCTTGACCCTGAAGCTAAGATAACATTTTGCTCTAACAGAGACAAGGAACGTGTTTGTTATTTTGCAATAACATCCAAGGCCTTTTTTTATCAATGGGACTGCCTAAGTACAATCCAGCTGAATGGCATTTATTTATTTAAACTTTTTTTAAACAAAGTTTGAAGTGTGTATTCCTTTGCTATGGGAA